TCAGGGAAGAGGTGAATAACACTTTCTTATTCACTTTCTACACATCATTCATGATTTTATAGACCTGTATCATATCCCCCTCAGTCATTTCTTTTCCAAGCTGAACACTCCCAGTCTTCTAAATCTCTCGTCATATGGAAGCTGTTCCACACCCCTAATCATTTTTGATGCCCTACTCTGTACTTTTTCCTATTTTAATATATTTTTTGAGATGGGGCAATTAGAACTGCAAGATGTATTCAAGGTGTGGGCATACCATGGATTTATATAGTGGCATTATCATATTTTCTGCCTTATTATCTACCCCTTTCCTAATGGTTCCTAAAGTTAGCTTTTTTGACTGCCGCTGCACACTGAGCAAATGTTTTCAGAGAACTACCCATAATGACTCCGAAATCTCTTTATTGAGTGGTAACAGCTAATTTATACACCCATAATTTTGTATGTATAGTTGGGATTATGTTTTCCAGTATGCATTACTTTGCATTTATCAACACTGAATTTCATTTGCCATTTTCTTGCCCTGTTTCGTGAGATCTCTTTGTAACTCTTCGCAGTCAGCTTTGGATTTAACTCTCTTGAGTAATTTTGTAACATCTGCAAATTTTACTACTGGTTTACCCCTTTTTCCAGACCATTTATGAATATATGGAACAGCACTGATCCTACTACCGACCCTTGGGGGACCCCAATATTTACCTCTCTCCACTGTGAAAACTAACTTTATTCTTAACCTTTGTTTTCTATCTTTTAACCAATTACTGATCCATGAGAGATCTTCCCTTATCCCTAACTCCTTTCTTTGCTTAAGAGCCTTTGGTGATGAACCTTGTCAAAGGCTTTTTGAAAGTCAACATACACTGTAACCGCTGGATCTCCCTTGTCCGTATGTTTGCTGACAGCCTCAAAGAATTCTAGTAGATTGATGCAGATTAATTTCCCTTTATAAAAGATATGTTGTCTCTTCTCCATCATACTGTGTTCATCTATGTATCTGATAGTTCTGTTCTTTACTGTAGTTTGAACCAATTTGCCTGGTACTGAAGTTAGGCTTACCGACCTGTAATTGCCAGGATTGCCTCTGGAGCCTTTTTAAAAAATCCATGTTAAATCAGCTATCCTCAAGTCATCTGGTTATAGAGACAGATTTAAGTGATAGGCTACATATCACATTTGGTAGTTCTACAATTGCATATTTGAGTTCCTTTGGAACTCTTGGGTGAATACAGTCTGGTCCTGGTGACTTACTACTGTTTAATTTATCATTTTGTTCCAAAACCTCCGCTGAGAACTCCATTTGGGACAGTTCCTCAGATATGTCACCTAAAAAGAATGGCTCAGGTGTGGGAATCTCCCCACATCCCCAACAATGAAAAACAATGCAAAGAATTAATTTAGCTTCTCTGCAATGGCCTTGTCTTCCTTGAGTTCTCCTTTAGCACCTCGACTGTCCAGTCATCCCTCTGATGGTTTGGCCGGCTTCTGACTTCTGATGTACTTAAAAAAAATTGCTAGTTTTTGTGTCTTTTGCTAATTGCTCTTCAAATTCTTTTTTTCATTTGCCTAATTATACTTTTACCCTTGACTTGCCAGAGTTTGTTCCTTCTACTTTCCCAGTAGGATTTGACTTCAGATTTTCAAGGACGTCTTTTTGTCGCTACCTGCCTTTTTTACTCTGTTATATAGCCATGGTGGTGTTTTTGGTTCTCTTACTGTTTTGGGGGGGTTTTTTGGAGGGAGGGTTTGAGGGGGGTTTGAGGGAGGACACATAGAGGCTTAAACTATATTATAGTATTCTTAAGAAGTTTCCAGGCAGCTTGCAGGCATTTAACTCATGACTGTTCCTTTTAATTTCCATTTAATTAACTTCCTCATTTTTGTGTAGTTCCCTTTTTTGAAAGTGAAATGTTACTGTAACTGGCATTTTCCCTCTACAAGAATGTTAAATTCAATGACATTATTGTCACTATTACCAAGTGGTTCAGCTATATTCACCCCTTGAACCAGATTTTGTGCGCTACAAATGACTAAATTACGAATTCCCTCTCCCCTTGCGGGTTCCAGGACTAGTTGTCCCAAGCAGCATTCATCAATGGTGTCTAGAAATTTAATCTCTGCATCCTGTTCTGAGGTGACATATTCCCAGACAATATGGGGCTAGTCGAAATCCCCCATTAGTATTGGGTTTTCTAGTTTTGTAGCCTCTCATCTCCCTGAGCATTTCTCAATCAGCATCACCATCCTGATCAGATGATCGGTACTATATTCCTACTGTTTACTCTTATTATTCAAGCACAGAATTTCTATTCATGGAGATTCAGTGGTACTGTTTGATTCATTTAAGATTCTTACTATATTTGACTCTATGCTTTCTTTCACATATAGTGCCTCTCCCCCACCAGCACAACCTACTCTGTCATTTCTATATATATATTGTATCCTGGTATTACTGTGTCCCATTGATTATGATTGTTTCTGTGATGCCTATTATATTAATATCCTCATTTAATAAGTACTTATAAAAAATGTTCAATATTTAGTTCTCTAACTTCATGTAACGTAATTGAATGGGACTCTTTTTTGTTTCACTGTTTCTCTTCAGTTCTTACCTATACTTATCCTCTTCTATCCTCTCCTTTTTACCTGTAACAAATTCTCCCCTAAGGTATGTGTCTGTCCAAACCGTGTGCTCCTCTGCACCAGTCGGCTTTCTCTCAGCCCTTACTCTAAAAATTCACCTGCAACCTTTTTAATTTTACATGCGAGCAATCTGGTTCTGTTTTAGTTCAGGTGGAGCCCATTCTTCGAGTATACGGTCCTCCTTTTCCCAAGGGATCACTGGATCCTAATAAACCTAAATACCTCCTCCAAACACCATCAAATCATCCATGAATTGGGACCCTGCAGTTCTGTCCGTGTAACGGGCGATATGTGTGGAACTGAAAGCATTTCAGAGAATGCTACCATGATGGTCCTGGAATTTCATCTCTTACCTGGAAGCCTAAATTTGGCCGCCATAACCTCTCCTCTACTTTTTCCTATGTCACTGGTACCTACATGTACCATAACCACTGGCTCCTCCCAAGACTCGCACATAAATCTATCTAGGTGTTTCAAGAGATCCGCAACCTTTGTATCTTCAATTTACACTCATCTAAAACATCCTTACAGCCAGCTGCAATTGGCAGTCTGCACTCTCTTTAGGTTTGTTGCAAATAGGCAGTAGTGTATTAAGGAATCTTGCACAGTACTTGCCTGCGCTATGCCTGGCTGTTCGAGAACTGGACTTTTAGCCATTTGCAACACAGCAGCATCACCACACACAGTAACGGAACTGCTTTGGTATTTACAGCATCGTCTTTTGAGACATACAGCTGCTATAATAATCTGGTTGTTGTGCTTCGTGACTTAAGTTGATGCTGATGAAGGTATTACTGTGGCTAAAAAGGCCAATGCTCGAGTCCTTTCCACATGAAGCGCATAGGTAGCTCGATGCTGAGGAAGAGATTACAATCTGTGCCTGCTGAGTCCACCACTGTTTACAACTCAGCCTCTGTGCCTCAAGATCCATACGGCGGTTAATCTTGAACTGGGAACCTCATTGTTTACTATTGCTCACCACCGTGATCCATCTGTTGCTGATGACTCACAGCTGTCAATGTCAATGCTGCACTGTTTCAAGTTATGCTTCCTCCACTGGCTTATACAAGCTGGTGAGAAGTGCATTCACAGTGTGTCCTTGAAGTGTTTCTTCTGGCCGTCTTGTACGCAGTTCAGTTCACCAAACTGCAACTACTTTGACATTCTAGTGTCATCCATCCTCAATACGTGACCATAACTGTGATGAGATAAGCATGGCTTCAATCCCTGTGGAGTGACTACATTACAGAACTTCATTACTGGTAACTTTATCATGCCATTTGATGCAGAATATGTCACGCAGATGTCATAAACGGAACTCTTCTAGAAGCTTAATATGCTGTAGCAGGTCAACACTGATACAAGTTGGACAGCACAACTGCTTTTTAGACTTAACTTGGTTTGAAGCTTAATATGTTGCTGCCAGACTCTGCCTGAAAATCTGTCAAATGATTAACTACCTTTGTTGACACGACTTGTCGGCTCCTTATCTGTAGTAACATCATTTCACAATGTATTGCCAAGATAACAGAAGTCTGTAACAGCATTTCGCTCTGTGTTGCTGATGGTGACTGTTTCACTTAGGGTTTCCCTGGCACAGATTGATACACGACCTCTGTCTTTTTCAGATTGTCAGCCTGTACCTTTCTGCAGACTCTGCGAATCTGTCCATAATCAACTGTATCTCTTCTAAAGTATGTGCCTCTAGAACACAGTCATCGGCACACAGCAGCTCATGAACAATTGCCTCAAAGACCTTCACAGAGCAAGCCTGCTCAGATTAAATAATTTTCCAGAGGATCGGAAATGTATCCCGATACCAGCGTTCAGGTCTCCTATAGCATCACTGAGCATTACTGCACACAAGAAATTTTACAAGAGCGGACCATTTACACAGCACTGTTTTTAATATCTTTACTGATAGGAAATGGGTCAGCCAGAACACCATCTAAGCAGACTTTTTCGAGCATGCCATCATGAACTAGCCTCAGAATGTTGGTGAATTTTTCTGGACAACCAAGCTTATGTAATAGCCCATAGCCCAGGACAGCTGTTGATGTCAAATGCTTTAGTCAGGTCAATAAAGACAGCATAAAGGTCCTATTTCTGTTCTCTGCATTTCTCCTGCATCTGATGGCCTACAAATATCATAATATGCCTGGTTGAAGACAATACTATCAAGCTGCCTTTTTCATATGCACTTAAACCACCAACCAGAATTAAGTAGAAATACATAAATATTTTCCAGGTTACCACCAAAGTAATGCTAAAGACAAGAAAGGTAACTCAGGTAGCTTTACTTGTCACATTGAAAGACTGGATGGTCACATTCAAACAACAGGAAAATATTTTTTACAAACCTGTCTACAACCACAGGTGACTCAGTGGATGCTTTTGCTATTTCTGAAGCAACAACGTAGTTGCCCAGAGCATAAAATGCCCTCCTGATGAGTGTTGGTTCATCATCAAAAGTCTTCCGCCATTGGCTGATACAAGCTGGGGGTGACCTTAAGAGAAGTGCATTCAGTGAGTCCTTGACCGACTGGGTTACAGTTGTTTTGCCTGCAGTTAACATACAAATAAAAACAAATAAAAAATCTTTAGACATATAGCATGGCACATCATAACAATTAGCTTTAATTTTTAAAAATGCAAAAAAAAGTTCTTATCCTTTAAGCTGGAAAACACTAGATAAATATATCAAAATGTATCTTACTAAGTATCTTGACTGTGTTGTTATAGGATAGGGTTTTGACTATGTCACAGTAGGCTTCTATCTGACTATTCGAGTTCTTATCACAGTTTCTATGTAGTACCCATAAGAGTATATCAGAGTTATATTTGCTGGCGGGGTTATCTTTACCTGCACCCTGTCTCTTTAAGGATTTGGAGCTCTACTGAAGAGATCAAAGGGAATACAGCAGTGACACAAGAAGTGATCCCAGGAGGGTTGTTGTATGTTGTGCTCCAATGAGATTGAGCTGGTGTGGGACTTGTCCAAGGTGTGTTTGTTTGTTTATATTATAAAACCCCCATTTAAAACACTCCTGCTTTGGAAATGTAATACCTAGTCAAAGAGTCATTTCCCCCTTTTGCCTAGCCTGACTCTATTGCCCTTTAGGCCATCTACTCATATGGTAACGTCTCTACATTTCAGTTTCAATAACTTTATTGACATGGCAGGGTACACAGATGTTGCCGAATTAATTCCTGGTATCATTCTGTTCACTTCAGTGGAGTGACACCACGATGAATTTTGCTCCCTGTTTAGGGTGGTTCCCTACAACTGAAAATGCAGAAGGCACAGATCTTCAGAGGCATTTACAATGCTGTTCTGGGAAAAGCAATTAATGGTTGCTCAAAAGTACCTTGATTCTCCTCTTCTCCAAGAGACTAAGGGCTGCACTGTGCACAACGGCTCTTGTTTCCAATATTCGACTTTGCCTATCTGAGTGCTCTTCCAATGACATTAGTAGGAAATTTGCACCTGAAGTGAAAAATTACTTTGTAGTTGAGATGCAAATCTGGGAGGAGAATTTTGATCTTTGTGACTTGCTCTTCTGGACTCTGCCAACCACTTCTGAAGTCTTATTTTTGAACATCTCATGAACCTTAAGCATGCACAGAAATCACATCAGACATTATTTTAACAATTATTCAGTTGTGATTCTATATTCACATTATGCACCTACCTGTTGCATCTAATCCTTCAATAACTATGACAGGAAATTCTCCCTTTTTTGAATGCTTGGGGCATTTATCCACTAGATCAAGGACAGCTGTGGCTTCAGGGATTAACGATGTGCACTGTAATGAATGTAACACTGATTACTCAACAAGCAATTTGGTACACAGGTATTTTTCAAAAGACCATATTTAACTGGAAAGGGTACAGTTTAATACAGAAGGACAATACAATTTTAAGACAGACACAAGAATCAAAGTCTTTGATTTGAACAATCCCAATCTTTGGTCCAGATGTGGTGATTCTGCTCTATTTCTTCTTGAAAATAAGGATATGTTTAAAAAAAAACAAGGAAGAGGAAGACAGTAAGGAAAGGTGGAGTAAACTCCTCAGGTGTAAGGGTTGCTAAAGTTACTCTGAAAAATTATCTGAAAGCAATGGAGGTAGCACTTTAGATAGGACTTCATTAATCATTTACTAAAAGTAACCTGTTTATGTACTTGTAACTTGTTATTACACTCAAGTACTTAAATGAGGAAGTTTTGCTTATTGGATAGGGCACTGTACTGGGACTCAGGAGACCTGGCTTTGCCATTAGCCTGCTGGGTGACCTTGGGCATGTCACTTCACTGTTCTGTGCCTCAGTTTCCCCTTCTGTAAAATGAGGATAGTCACATATACCTCATTTGTAAAGCACTTTGAGATCTATTGATGAAAAGTGCTAGGTATTATGATCCAACAGTCTTCGGGCCTGTGCCTGATTTCATGTAAGCTGGTGTCATTCAGAAGTAATGTCCACTTAAGTCAGTAGAACGACTCTGGGGTGTGAGTTCAGATTCAGGCCCCATCACTTCTACACAAAAAATAAGACCCTGGGGAAAGTAGGATGCAGCATCCCAGGTGGGAGACTCCTTGCTAAACAGGCCCAGGGGTTAAGAAAGGAAAATAGATCATGGACCTGATCCCCCTCTTAGGCCAATGTCAATACGAAGTTGGCGGTGGCGGGGTTGCACTGCGAGAAAGAACCAGGCGCAGAGCCCCTGGGGAGCTGAGTAGGTGCAATCAGGCTGAGCTTCATTTCCCTCTGAACGGCCGCTGCCCGGGATCTTACCTGCTCCAGCACGCTGCGGGCGGCCTGCAGGGAGTGGAACACGGCGGCGTGGCGAAGGCCGGGCACTGCGGGGTGCAGCGGCGGCTCCTCGACGGCCACCACTCGGGCTCGCCGGAGCAGCTCTCTGCCGCCCGCCCCTCGCAGGGCCCACAGGCACTGCCACAGCTCGCCCAGCTCGCCCGCCTCGTACACGCCCAGCGGCGGCGGCAGCTCGCCCAGGCCCCGCAGCAGTTCCTCCAGGGCGCGCTCGGTCTCCGGGCCTCCCTGCGGGTCCTGGATGAGGAAGCCCTTCTCCAGCGCAGCCTGCGCCCCGTAGCAGAGGAGCCCCAGGACCCGGCATCTCCCGAACGGCCCCTGCCTCAGCCTCTGCTGCAAACGCCGGTGGAGCCTGGCCGCCGGGACGCTAGGGGCGGCGGGGACGCAGAGGGAATAGCACCTCCCCGGAGCGGGCACAAAGCAGCGGGGCTCGGGGCGGCCGCTGGCGCTTGCGCCCTCGCTGCCGCTGAGGGTGAAGCAGACCAGGTCCGAGCCGGGCCCCTCCACAGCGAAGCACGGTCGGGCCTGTCCGGAGCAGCCCGCGGGAGGCGCCGCCATGGCGGAAAGCGAGCGGGGCAGCAGCGTGAGCCGGGCCAGCCGGCTGGGATGCAGCATCCCGCCACAGCTGCCCGGAGAAACGAAACCGAGCCAGCGCCAAGGACCCGCCGCCCCCTCCGTGGCACGTGCGGGGAAAGGGAAACCCGATAAGGCAACGCGGGGGGAAACGAAAGCGATCGGGTGGTTTGTTAGCCGCCCAGCCCTTCAGCTATCACCAGGGATTGGACTGGAGCTGAAAACCGCACGCACTGCTGTCACTTGAGCGGTAGGGCCCGCTTTGCTAGCCAGCAGCGGCAGCAGGTTCTTCTGCAGAGCAGCCACTACAGAGAAACCGAGCCCTCTTGCTGCTGCTGGGAAACCACACAAAACAAAAAGGGGGGGGGGGGTCTGGGAGGCTATAACGATCTGTTTGCACATTAGGTGATGACGGCATTTTTGACAACAAGCAGTTGTGAGGAAAGAAACGAAACTCGTCGTCTAGGTTGCAAGGGATTTGGAGTCCCGTGTTTGCAGAGGGAGTGTTTATGTCCCCACTCAGCTCAAAGGTCTGACTGCATTGCTTGCCAAGGTGCCCCCCTCCACACGCCCTTAACCGCGCAGCCAACTTTTTTTTAGTCCACTTGGAATACAGTGCAGCAGCCAGAAAGCAAGTATTTTAATAGGGCTGTATACAATGTTTCCTTATTGCAGCAGCTCAAAACATCAGACGCACAGCTCTCATATCTTATCTGGGCAAGCCAGGGTCTTCTTGTAAAAAAGAAACTTACAGACACCAAGGAAAGAGGAAATCAGCCACCCAAATAGCCCAGTAATAATGACTATGTGAAAATCACCTTGAGGAAACCTTCCAAAGGCTTGTTGAGTTATCATCACAAATGGAAAAGTGAGGGGGAGGACTAGCATCCTATCAGGAGGATTATCATTATCTGGTTCTGCTTTGTCCGTTTTTCAATAGGAACATGGAGATGGAAATGAAATCTGCAGGCAGCCCTCATCTCTTCAGCAGTTTATCCTCCATTCCTAGTCAGGAGCTCTGTATATACACAATAGATTTCTATGGAAATGTCTATGTAAATCTTGCAGATCATACTGGCTGACTTCACTGAGTGGGGATTTTAAATAGCAAGAGCATATCAACACTTAAAATATACTGTTTCCTTGAAAATGTCCCTAGCAATAAAACATTGGGGCAAAAGTATACAGTACATAAGGGTCCTACTTTTATCAGCCGAAATCAATGGCAAAGCTCATATTGACTGCTGTGAGAGCATAGTTGGATCCAAACAGTCTCTAAATAGAATGAACTGCTTTGAAGCCATAAACCCTGTTTAACTGGCCAGTTAAGGCAGGTTTACAGCACCTTTGTATTATCAGAGCAGCACAACACTGCCAGACCCTAATATGACCCAGTACTTTTTGTCTTCAGTGTCTTGAACACTATAGTTATGGACTTAACTACATTGGAAGTAAAACTTTAAAATAAATAAAGGAGAATAGGCAGGAGCCATTGCAGAGGCACTCCCTGTTTCTTTAACAACTTTCCATTTAACAGATAGCTATGGATACGGCTAAACTTGCTTTAGTCAATTTTAACATTCATCTACTTTGAAATAGGAACCAGAAGCACTCAAAGTGGGTTCAAGAGTTATCTAGTTTTATGACAGCTTCTGTAAGTAACTTTGTCTGAAATAATGTTTTCTAACAATTGGTGAATCACAAGAGAACTCATGCCTTCTTCAGAAACAATAAAGTAATGGAGTTATTTGTAGATTTCTTTAGAGTAAACTTTTATGCTCTCGATGCCTATGTTAGGGCATGTCTACATTACGAAATTAGGTCGATTTTATAGAAGTCAATCTTTAGTAACCGATTTTATATAGTCGATCGTGCATGTCCCCACTAAGCACATTAGGTCGGCGGAGTGCGTCCTCAATACCGTGGCTAGCATCGACTCACGGAGTGGTGCACTGTGGGTAGCTATCCCACAGTCCCCGCTGCCCATTGGAATTCTGGGTTAAGCTCCCAATGCCTGATGGGGCAAAAACATTGTTGTGGGTGGTTTTGGGTACATGTCGGCAGTCTCCCCTCCCTTCCTCCCTCCCTCCTTGAAAGCAACGGCAAACAATCATTTTGTGCTAATTTTGAACAGCTAGACACCAGGGCAATTAGAAGAGCATACCGAGGCACGCTGCGCATCAGAGAGGCTTTGAAAAACAGTTTCATGACTGACCCGGCTATAGTGTGACAGTTGTGTGTGTTTGTCCTTGATGCAAAGCCGCTCCCTTTGGTGAATGTACTTCCCTGGAAGCCAATCCCCCTCCCCTCCTTCGACCACAGCTGGCACAGGAAATAAAGTCCTTATTGTTCTGAATCGATTCATTATTTATTAAAAATAACTTGAGTTCACTGACAACGCTGACTAGTAAAAGGTAGCCTGGGTGTACAAAGGATTTGATAACAGGGTGGGCTGAGGGAGGAGGGAAGGACAAGGCCCCATTGCTTATTGTAACTAGCTGTTTGAATGACAGCCATCTGTTGCTTGGGCCATCCCCTGGAGTTGAGTGGCAGGGTGCCCGGAGCCTCCCCCCCCGCGTTCTTGGGCATCTGGGTGAGGAGGATATGGAACTTGGCGAGGAGGGCAGGCAGTTATACAGTGGATGCAGCAGGGGTCTGTACTCTAGTTGCCTTTCCTGAAGCTCCACCAGATGCCTTATCATGTCCGTTTGCTCCCCCATTAACCTCAGCATCTCCTCCTGTGTGTTCTGATCACGCTCACTGTATGCTTTCCTGACCTCTGCCATCAAATGCCTCCATGCATTCAGCTGTGCCCTGTCAGTGCAGGAGGACTGCATGAGCTCGGAAAACATGTCATCGCGAGTGCATTTTTTTCGCCTTCTAATCTGCGATAACCTCAGGGACAGAGTTGATGTGGGGAACATAGAAGCATTTGCAGTTGCAGGGGGGAAAAAAGGAGAGTAGACTTTTAAGATGATACATTTCTGAGAACAAAAGGGAGACTCTTTCACAGTGAATCAAGCAGACAGCACATGTGCTTTAGGTACAAGGTCGCATTTTGCCTTTTATATTGGGCGCCTGCTGGTATGGTGACACATCACACACGGCTGGGCAACAGAATTCGGTTTCCAGGCAGCCATGATAAGCCAAAGGGTACACGGGGTTGGCTTCTTCCACGTTCATAACATGTGGGAATGGTTTCAAACTGCAGCACCCTCCTTTCCCATAGCAACCAATGTCGGCTGTGTTTGCCATTTAAAAGGAGGGGCTGCGGTTGCCATTTAAAAGGAGGGGCTGCAGTTTTGGGGTAGATGTGCAGCACTCCTTCCCCCCCCCCCCCCACGTGGCTATTCTCCAGGATGATCCCTTTTAGCCAAGCGCAAACAGCCCAGCATGCTTGGGTTCTAATGTGTCGGGGATCACCAAACAGAGGGGATTACTGTTCCCTTACAAAACTTGCCCTATTTCAACCAGGTGACCATGAATGATATCACTCTTCTGAGGCTGACACAGAAAGATAAAGACCGAATATTGCATGAATGTGACCAAGACCCAGGACCATTCACTGCCATACTTTGTGCTACAATGATTCCAGACCACTTGCTACTGGGTTGGCGTGGTAAAGTGTCCTACCGTGGAGGACAAAATAAGGCAGTCCTCCCCAGAAACCTTCTGCAAAGGCTTTCAGAGTACCTCCAGGAGAGCTTCATGGAGATGTCCCTGGAGGATTCCCACTCCATCCCCAGAAACGTTAACAGACTTTTCCAGTAGCTGTGCTGGCTGCGAATGCATCCCAATTGTTCAGGGCAAATCAAACATTAAACACAATTGATCTTAACCCCTGTAGTGTCGTTACAAATATGCACTCACCAGAGATGCCTTCTCCGCCTTCAGGGTCCGGGAACAATAGGCCCTGGGAGGGTATTAGCTACAGGGTGAGGAAAAGGTCCTGGCTGCCCGGAGAAAAGATTCTTCGCTTGCCTGCTACGCATTCTCCTCCTCCTCTTCCTCATCCACAAAATCCTCATCCATGTTGCATGAAGCTGCCACCTTGCAGGTGTCCACAGAGAGTGTTGGGGTACTGGTAGGGTGGCATACAGCTGATCATAGAAGCGGTATGTCTGGGGCTCTGACCTGGAGTGACCATTTGCCTCCTTTGTCTTTTGGTAGGCTTGCCTGAGCAACTTAATTTTCACACGGTAGTGCACTTCTGTGCATCCCCGGTGTAGCCTCTCTCCACCATGCCCTGTACAATTTTGGCATATATATCAGCATTTCTTCTGCTGGATCGGAGTTCTGCCTGCACAGATTCTTCTCCCCGTACTGGAATCAGATCCAGTGTCTCCCATTTGCTCCATGCTGGAGCTCGTTTGCAATTCTGGGACTGCATGGTCACCTGTTCTGCTGAGCTCGCCACGCTGACCAAACAGGAAATGAAATTCAAAAGTTCCCAGGGATAGCTCCCGGAGGCCAATACCATCGAATTGCACAGCGCTGCGTCTGCAGTACCCCAAATTCAACCCAGGAAGATCGATTTTAGCGCTACTTCCCTTATCGGGGAGGAGTACAGCAGTCAATTTTAAGAACCCTTTAGGTCAGCGGAATGGCGTTGGTTGTGTAGATGCATTCATTATAAAATCGACCTAATGCAGCTAAATTTGACCTAACCTCGTTGTGTAGAGGCCTTAGCTTTAAGTACTGACAAAGCTCAGTGTCAGGGAAAGAAGGCACCCTCCCCCCACCCCCGCCCCTTTCCCGGGGAAACAGCATGTACTGCTTTGTCCTGGTTTAAAAGCCTAACAATACAAGGGACTTGAAGCTGCATAAAGTGACAGCCCTGACCTGGGGGAGGGAGTCACACACTCAATCCAAGAACTGACATGAGCTTGTGACCAAGAGAGACAGGCCTTGTGAAATAAACACAAGAATGGCCATACTGGGTCAGACCAATGATCTATCTAGCCCAGTATCCAGTCTGCCAGTGGTCAGTGCCAGATGTTTCAAAGGGAAATACTCAACCTGCCAAAGTCTCTCTGTGGAAGATAGATGACCATCTGGTAAGTTAGACATGGATATAAGCTATTCATTGTTTTAAGGATATGCTTTTGCTAAAATGCTTTGGTTCTAAATAAATAGTACTTTGCTTTATGAGAGCTGACTGGTTACTGAATAACCTTGTCTTTGCCCCTCATGAGCTTACGACACTGCCTAAAAGGCCAACCCATGAAGGTGCTGATGCAATGAAAAGATGACAGTGAATGAAAATTAGCTATTGCTAATTGTTTTGAATCCAGCCAAGCCTGAGGGAGATATGTTTTCCTCCTTCCCTGAAAT